CTGAGTTTCAGTTTTTCATTTAGGACTGAGATAGAGGAGCTCCGAAGTTGTTGAACAAGTTTTGCGAAGCACAAAAGCCCCTTCCTGTCTGGAGAATTTGGCTCTCCCATATCGGAGCTCCCTGTCCCTAGATTCAAGTAAAAATCACTATCCAAGCGCTGATTGGAGTTCAGTACGAAGAAATTGGGGAAATGCTGTGGGAAGGGTGAAGGGTTAGGTCAGGCACGATACATTCTCGTCCTTAACGCGTCAGGAGACGTCATAGGTCGTTCTGCTGCTGTCTCGTTCACTGCGGAGCAGGGCTTGTCAGGGGCGCTTGGTTTGGCGCGGCGCCAGCCGCCTGCTTACCCCACTTTCTTGCTTGCCCTCTTCAACAATATTTGAAGAACGAGTTGACGCCGCGCGAAACCAGGCCCCCTGACACGCCTCAGCATCCGCAACGAACAAGGATGTACTTTCGAACGCGTGCATTATTGTACTGTAGAACAGACCTACGTTGGATCAGCGCCCTTCTCTTTTCTTTTTTGATCTTCGAGTGCTAATAACCTCGGAGGGGTAGGGTGGACTTGAAGGATTCCGCATGAAACACTGGGATTACTGTCCCAGAACCAGAGACTTTTGCTTTGGCCCAAAAGAACTAAGAGAACGAGTTTTCAAGTACAATAACCCCATAGCTATGAGGGTAGCTCCAGCTTGCACCCAGATATCTTCGAAGGCAGTGGGCAAGATGGCTGGGAGCGGGCGGTTAGTGCCAACGTCATTGGTAGGAGGGCTGCGAGAGAGCGTTGACTTCAATCTACCCAGCCCTTCCACAGCAACGTTAGCAGTAACTTTGAGTGCCCCAAAGCTATTATTAGCTCCGCTCTTCATTCTTATACACATAGTCCAACCATGAGTGCAGTTTTAGAGTGTGGGGCGAGATCTCCATCATCAGACGTTCTTCGAGATGCTTGGCAATTGGTCGTTTAACAATTCTTACTCCAAGGTATTTCTTCCCTTATCGATAGTTCATCAAAGCGTTCGTTGGTTTCACGGCTTGCTAATTATTTAAGAACAGTCACTCTTAATTACTGGATAATTTTCAAAAATCCAGGAAGATGCGTGCAGATTAGCGTGGTACTTTCTTACGGATATCCTAAACATTGATCCGTCTCGGTTATATGTCACTTACTTCGGTGGCTCAAAAGAATGGAACCTTGCAGCCGACGAGAACTGCAGGAAAATTTGGCTGAAAATTGGGTACCTAGCTTGTTTTTCTCAGCCTAAGAAATATAAAGAAAATGTCAAAGCTTAGGGTGCCTGAATCTCATGTTCTGCCGTTTGAAAAGGAAAACTTCTGGGAAATGGGTGTTACCGGTCCGTGTGGGCCATCCAGCGAGATTTTCTATGATCGCGTTACCGGACGAAGCGATGTCGCTCATTTGGTTAATGTAGACGATTCTATTGTCGAGCTGTGGAATATCGTATTCATTTCTTTGAACAGGTAGGTATTCGTGACGATTCTCAATGAAAAATGGCGTTGTTCGGCTTGGGAAGGGCATTTCGCACTTTCGTTAGTTTCTTTTACTAGAACCTGCTAACTTACACGTCTTACCTTTGTGAGACCTGTAGACTTCGTCAAATGTAAGCGGAACTGGTGCTATTGCATAGCTTCACAGAAATTCACAGGGCCCCCAAGGGGCATTGGCACCGAATGAAACCAGGAAAATGCCCCTCCAAGCCAAATTGCGCTTGAAAAAGCCTTGCATTCCTTTGTATTTGCAGGTATTGGAAAGTTTCATTTCAGAATTCCTAATGGTCGCCTTGAGCCTCTTCCCAGCAATCATATCGATACTGGTATGGGCTTGGAACGCCTAGCCTCAGTTATGCAAAATGTGCCTTCAAACTTCGACATTGATGTCTTCACACCCATTATGAAGCATATATCCGTGGTAAGTACCCTTATAGTCTGTGTTGCCTCTAATCTTATTGTGGGATACCCCGAAACCTTCTTTTCCCCACGGATTTTCCGTATGCACTACACTGGGACCTGAACAATGTTCTGGCAGCTGGATATCAGGGCACGTCGTACGGTGGGGTCGTAATTGAGTTAGTGAACAATGTTTTCGGTTGTTGACTTTCCTCGGTTTTTCCCCTTTCACGTGCGGTAGATGCGCTATGCCCTCCTCTCCCCTCATCGACACGACAGCTTTTTTTCGAGGTGGGGGTAGGGACCGGAACGTATTTATGAAAATTGTTGC